TACGCTACCAGAGCTCCTTAGTGGGGGGGGGGGGCGAGATTGCAGGTATAGAATCAATGTCACATGCCAACCAGTTGGTTCTACCTCATAGTGATACTAAATAGAGTTTCGAAGGAATAGCTTGGTGGGTTTGAACCACTAACCTTGTGGTTCAAAGTCCAGTGCTGATCATACTGTGCCACATCAGGAGTCCCAATATATATAGACTAAGGATCTCTGGTAGCGTAGTGGTTACGAATCGGGCTATGAGCCGTAAGGTCAGCAGTTCGAAACTACCAGCGGTTCTGCGATAGAAAGATGAGGTGGTCAGCTCCCGTAAAGATTTACAGCCTCGGAAACCTTGTGTAGGGTTGCTATGAGTCGGAACTGACTCCACAGCACTAAACAACAACATTAGAGCTGGAGAGACAGGTTTAGATGGTCAAGGACACAGATGCATAAGAATTAGTTGTCACAGCTAGAGGTGACAAAACTGGCCTTAGAAATTGGGTTCCAGAAGCTCATTCAATAATCTTTGCAGTATTCTCAAGTGGGCTGATGGCGTCAGTCTGCAAAGTCATTTGAACTGCAAGGTCGGTGGTTCAAGCTCACCACCTGCGCCGTGGAAACCTTATATTGCTATGGGTCGGAATCAACGGCACTTAACTACTTATGTCATATTTTTGGATCAAATCTACTATGATGTCTTTTTACCTCAAATTGGTAGTTTCATTCTCTTAATTTTCTAGTGATGGGTTTTGGTTTTTAAAAACCTTCCCCAACTCTGAAAGAGCAGGACTGCAAGTCACCTTTTAGCTCTGTGTGTATGAATCTTGAATCGACTGGAGATATGTTTGTATATTAAGAGTCCTGGTGTGGAGCTATAGGATAATGCACTGGACCCTTTGCAAGGTTGGTTCAAACTCGCCAACGGCTCCTCAGAAACTACTTGTACAGTTACTGTATTATGAAACTCCAGTAGCCTGCTCCTAAGAATTCTTAGATCATGTAAGTATAAGGGGGATTCAAAGAAGGGGAAAAACCGTTTCCTATTTTTACAGGGACTTTTTGAGGTTCCCGTATACATTTCTGTTGCTTTTAAGTGCCATTGAGTTGGTCCCAACCCATAGCAACCCTGAGTAGGGTTTCCAAGAAGCCAGCTGGTAAGCTTGAACTGCTGACCTTGGAGTTCAAACCACCTTTTGCAGTCCAGCACATTAACGCAGAGTGCTACACCAGGGCTCATTCTCCAGGTACTGTTGGGATTTTGTGGTAGTCTAAACATTAATGCTGAGTCCTAGTGTGGCACTGGAAGATGATAAGCATTTGACTGCTGACTGTAAGGTCTGCTTTCGGAAACTCACCAAGGAATTTTGGGACCTGAGCTTTTTTTATGTTGGTAGCTGAAAAAGTAATTTTTACATTTTTCTTTTTTAGCTTAGGGGAAAGGAGATTTGCATGATGTGATCCTATTTCCATTTTGATTAATTGTTCAACTAAGCAGAACTCTGTCTTATCTTCACATTAATTTACTGTTGGAGATATTTTTGTATCCCAAAGTGGCAAATAATATCTAGGTAAACATAATTCCACCTGCAGAGATAAGAAAATTTGTGTTGTCAAACACCTTGTGTTCACCCAAGCTGTTTGAGGCCAAAAGCAATTTTTCATAAAGAGGAATGTCGTTCTTTTGGCTAACTTTTTATAGGAAGTACTTAAATCTGAGTAGCGTGCCTCCTAAAGAGAATGAGATTGGATGGGCAATCCTAATTAGGGGGAGACCTGAGTCTGTAATTATGTGGGAGATTCAGACAGCATAAGGTCAGAGGAGTGGAATCCCAGGATTTGAGGGGCCGTGTGGCCTGGAGAGAGCCAGCTGGGCTGCTGCAGGTTATTTTTAATTTGGGTTATTTTTGCTTTGAAGTAAGACTAAGTGACTCTGAATCATAGTTTGCCACTAGAATCCTCTGGGGTGCTGTTAAAAATAACAATACCCGGGCCCTACCCTGTGGGTCAGTGCGCAGGTCTGCAAAGCCAGCTTGAACCGCAAGGGTCAGTGGTTCAAGCTCCCCTAGCCGCTCCTTGGAAACCCTATACAGGGTTGCTATGGATCAGAACCGACTCGACGGCACTTTTAATAAGCCCTTAAATGGTACGCACAGGACTCCTAACCACAAGGTTGGCGGTTCAAACCAACCAGCTGCTCCTCAAACCCTATACAGGGTCCCTTTGAGTCAGAACTGACTTGATAGCACTTGTTAATGACATCCTGGTGGGGCACTAATACTATAAGCACTGAAGTGCCAACTGAAAGGTCAGTGGTTCAAACTCAACAGCTGCTCCTTGGAAACCCTATACAGGGTCTCATTGAGTTGGATAATGGAGTTATTTGCGAAGCAACTGAGGGGCATAACAAAGCACCGGAACAATTGGAAAGTAAAGATACTGTGTGTGTTAGCTGTCCAGGCTGCCTGAGTAGTGGCAAGGGCTACTAACCAAGAGGTGGGCAGATTGAGTCTAAGACGCACTTTGGAATGATCTGAAAGGTCACAGGCATTGGTTGAAAACCCTGTGGAGTATAATTCTGCTCTGAAACATACAGGGTCTCCATGAGTTTGATAGCAACTGGATTGGAGTTTTGTTTTTTTAGTGGCCTAGCACTGGACCGCATGTCGGTTTGAACTACAAGATCAGTTCAAACTCAACCTGCTGCTCTTTGGAAACTCTATACAGGGTTGCTATGAATCGGAACTGGTTTGATGGCACTTAACAGAACAGTACCAGAGTACTAGTGTGCTGTGAACAGGCACTGGACTGATAGCCACAAAGTCTGCAGTTCAAACCCACCAGCCGCTCCTTGGAAACCCTATAAAAGGTTGCTATGAGTTGAAACTGACTCAATTGCACTTAACAAGCAGCATAGTACCTGAGCCATGGACTCAATAGGATAAGCTCTGGACTGCTAACTGCTCTCAAAAACTATTATACAAGATTGATAAGAGTCAGAAACAACTATGTGCCCCACCACAGTACAGTCCCTACCACACACAGCTCTCTAGAAAGTTATTTCAGTAAAGGCTCTGCCATAGGATACTGAAGATTTAACTGAATGCCACAATCTCTACCGATGTGCCCTTAGTAAACAAACTGGAAAAAAGCTGTCTATTCATTTTATTAAATACTGAATAAAATGTTTTTCCAATTTAGGAGTTTTAATAAATGCTTCATACGAAATTATACCCAAATGAATCTTCCTTAGGATTTTAAAGGTTCTCCAGTGCACTTAGATTGTGCCATCAAATCAGTTCTGACTTATGGGCAACCTGTATGGGGTTTCGGGGGAACAGCTGGTGGGTGTGAACAGCCAACCTTATGGTTGGCAATCCTTTGCTGATCCTACAGTGCCACACCAGGAGTCCACAGATTTGAGGCTTAATACTGAATGTGGTAAGACTAT